GTTATAAATTCATCTGAGAAAGTTGGAATGTTTGGATATCGAGTCTAAAATGTCCCCACACCCCATGCTTGTCATAAAATACGGATCGTGTGTCATAATACCCAGATGATTCTCATGGTGGTTATAAACCACTTATTTCATTTGGAATCTGGAATAATGCTGACTGGCATAAACAAACAGTATTTATTCACGTTTTCGGCCAAGAGGGTAGCCCTGTGGTTATAGTGTTTGATAGTCACATTAGTGGGTTTGAACACTGATTTGGGTTTGTAAGTTATAAATTGTTAATTACTCAATGATTCAGATTTCTTTGAGATAGCTTTATGCTTGCAACAATTGTCAATTAAATTTCTAAAATTTGAAAAGAAATTCCCTAATTCATGTTCATAGTAGTGTAATTTTATGAGCTTTATGAATGTTTATGGTATGCTGCCTGTATTTTACTTATTCGATAGGAAGGGCACTTTAGTGTGATACCTTTTGCTCAATCCATTATCTGATGGTATGGCTCTGTTGAGCTAAGCCTTTAATGCTTTATTTTACATTCTTGCACTGAATGAAAGTTAAAATAAAGGTTAAAATACCCTTGAAATTTATGAAAATAGAGTCATGATTTTTCCTAATTTTGCCAGTGCAAATGCACTTAGTTTGGAGTATTAGAGTGATTGAGTGAGTTTGGTTTTACGTCGCTTTAAGCAACAATCCAGCAATATCACGGCAGGGGACACCTGAAATCTTGGAGTACTAGAAGACTCCTTGCTCTGCCTTTGATAAGCAATTGTACACTTATATGTACTTTGTTATATTGGTTCAGCTGGATCAAGTACTAAATACCTTTCCCGAATTCGCTGACATGTGATTATTCCTTATGTCCTTTAGTCATAATGATATTGTCAAAGTAACTTGGAGTTTAATTTTGATAGATCAAGTTTGTAACTGGACTTGGTTTGTGGAAAATGTAACCCGATGATGGTGTAACGATGATGTAATGAATTACGGCTAATAGTTTCCAACTGGTAGATACGATCAGAGACCTTGCTCAGACCTGTTGCCTAGTGACATGGAGAAAACTTGTATTTTCTGCTAGTCATTAGAAGTGTGTTTTCGTGAATGTCTTAATGTTCTTCCACGTGGCAAACCCACAGGGACTGTTCGAAAGGAGGACATGCCACCAAGCAATGATGGGGGAGGAGGACACCTTGGGACTTGTTTGTTTCTAACTGGCCAGACAGACTAAACAAGGATCCTTGCTTGTGACAGTTTGTTGGTGTGTTTATTTCTTAATGTCCAGTTTTTGTTCAGTGTGGATAACAGTGAATGAGGCTGAAGGGGTCTTTGTCGGCACAGGTACTACAGATACGTACCCCAGGTACGTTTCTGTATACAGATATGTACCCTAAACAAAGTCAAAATACAGAAACGTACCCGGTACCCTAAAAGGCGGACGAGTCCATATTCCGCAATCCAGAACCAAAACCACATGTAGTTGTTACCGTTCAACTGATTCCGAGCGGTATTCATCATCGCGAAATATCCGTTACTGTGTATTCTCATTACTTACATAACGCAATCAAATGTATCTAATACAACAGTATGGCAGTTCCGGTCAAGAATACGACACAATCGGAATGGAATCATCCTAGGGTACGTTTCTGTATTCTCATTATGGCCAGGGTACATAATGAGGGGTACATATCAGTAGTACCCGTGCCGACAACGACCCCTTCAGCGTGAATGAGAGAGTGTTGATTTAAAGCCATAATATATACACATTTGCTAGAGCTGCATTTCACACAACACATGTTTTTGTATAGATAATCAAACCCAGCTTTGTGGTTTGACTGAAGATGCTATAACCATTTGGCTTCCCTTCTTATTTTTATAGGGGTGGTAGGGTAGCCTAGTGGTTAAATCGTTCGCTCGTCACACGGTATGCATAAACATCTAACATGGGTACAATTTGTGAAGCCCATTTCTGGTGTCCCCTGCAATGATATTGCTAAAAACGGTGTAAAACCATACTAAGTCGGTCAGTTAGTCAGTCTTATTCTTCTATAATTCTTCTATGTAAATTGTGTAATATTACTTAATGTAGCCTTCTGGGGAAGCTCAATAGGTTCAGCCAAAATGTTGCATAGAGCCATGCCAGGATCTGCTGTCTGTGGGTTTGAATCTCAGATACCCTTGTCCACAGTATGCAGTGTAAAATGGACTAGTTCTCATGAATATAACCACATCCCCAACCAGGAGACTGCGTGGGTTTAACCTGATGGAACAGTGCAGCCTGTGTGGGCAGGACAGTGACTTCTTGGAATTGTTTGTTTCTGATAACTCCATACTGGTGTGTCCTGACAAGGAATATACAAATGAAGCTTACGCTGCTTGAGACTAGACTTAGTCCCTGAATATATATAATTTTGTTTGTAACAAACAAACCCATTTAAGTTGAAAAAGAGCCCCAGGGAGACCAGATATTCAGATGTTTCAGGGACTGTGAGACAGTCTATGCTTGATAATTTTTAGCTGTCTCATACCTGATATATATTATATTTGTACATATTGGTATGTGTAAACATCTAACATTTGGTGATATTTAGAAGGGCACTGTTACACCTACAGAGGTGATCATCCGAATGAACGAACCGGTTAAACTAAAATTTGTGTAACAGAGGTGAGGTGAGGTGAAATTGGGTTTAACGTCGTGCTTGAGAATATTTCGCTCATGTGACGACGTGCATGCATGTGCATGTGTATGTGCAGCTGCTTGTACTAGCCCAGACTGAAGCTGGTTTTATAGTGCTAGCCCACTGAGATACCATGCTGCAGTGAAGCATGAATACCCCACTCAGACACATTATACTGACTCCGAGCCGACCAGTCCTTGTTGTACCCATTAATGCTGAGCGCAAGGCAGGGACCAACAAGTACCATATTTTAACGTCTTTTGGTATGACGCGGTCGGGGATCAAACCCGCGACCTTCCGCTCTCCGGGCGGACGGTGTTACCACTACACCAGGGAGGCAGTCTGTGTAACAGAGACCACATAATAATCTTATTGGGTCTCTGGTGTTAGGGAAGTATTTGTTTCTCAGCAGCCTTTTGTCGTTAAATTCCATGATCACATGACAACTGCCTTAGTCAGGCAGTCTCAAGATCTTTGAGAAAAATATGTAAGAGGAGTCCAACTCAAGTCTAGAATGTTTGGGCCAGTCTAATTGTTCTCACCTCTTCTAGAATTTTATTTATTTTATAGTTTTAGATATATATATTTTTAGGCAAGATAAATTTATTTCACGGTGTCAATGTCAGTCAACAACTACCTATATATTTTCAGTTAAAACAGTTTGTTAGATTTATTACCAAATAAGAGTATGATGAATTGGTTTATATCTCAACCACTGTACCCTGGTATATTATTGGATGCTACATGAATGATATGTATGGATTGTTTAGACATGTATTATTAACAAGGAGTTGTAGACAGTATTCTTGATTGGACTGTTCAACCACTGTACGTTTTGGTTTAAATACAACCTGATCTAAATGACACTTTTCCTTAAACTCATCTTAAAAATTGCATGTTTTATTTCCATATTTTCATGCTTATAGTGCTTTCTGTGGTATTTCTGGATTAGCATATGTCCCTTATGCTGATTGTTAGAGGTGGCACACTGGATTGGATGAGCAGACCTGGTGACGTGACAGCTTGGATTGTTGCTCACACTGTAAGTCAGTGGATTGGATGGTCCCGATTCGGTTGTACAGGCTGCAATTGTATAGAGCTGTTCAGTGTGACATTAAAGAAACAACGACCAAAACCAACCAAACAACTTCAAAGGGCACTATGATCCATGGTCTGGTGCTCATGTCCATTCAATGTGTAGATGTAACTAGTGACTTGTGTCATACTAAAATATTTTGTAGCTGGTATAATTACTGGTATAGACTAATGCACGTCATTGTACTTGGGCCTGCACACAAAATAAGAGCACTGTGAATGACTTGATACATTTTTTGATAAGGCAAGGAGTGAATGGCTCTTGTTTTCTCATTTTATATATGCTAAGATGTTAAAGGGTCCCCCACTTAGTCCTCATCTGCTATGGACTCCCTTGGGACAATATGAACTGACCAGCTGAATTTGTCATTTGGCTCTGAAATTATCATGTTTTGAGGGGGCAGACCATTTGGGCTGGGTGTTTTAAAAGGAAAAACAATGTTCCAGAAAATGCTTAAAACATAATTCTGCTTCAGTTGAAATTAAATTGCTTGATATCTCTGTGGATGTCATGAGAGTAATATGTTGGAGAAAAACATGGTTTAGGGTCTTCCTTTTAGAGAAAAGAGCTGTGTCTTTAAGTATTCACTAAACAAAATATTCTATAACAAAAATTCTAAGCCTCAAATTACTGGTTGGTTTTTCCATATTTTTCCATAGTTGAATTGTAATGTCAATATTGTTTGAGCTATGTCTTATGATGCTAACTCTTCTAGATACAGTAAGTTCATTACCTCTTAAGTGTTTGTTACCAATAATTACGTTTTCTATATTTTTTTATTCATAAAGGATATCATTTCTTTAATTTCTCAAAATTTGAATTTGACATTTTGAAAGAATTTTGATACTAAAGAAGTTTAGAAGTGTTTAAGAAACTATTTCAGAAAATATGAAAATACTTCATTAAATATTACTTCCTCAAGTTTCACTTATGATCAAGTGCAAAATGTGATAATGAATGTAAGATCCTGAACTGTAGAATGTTACTTTCCACTGAACCAATAGTCCTAATAGAGCACAGATGGCATAACACAAATTAGCCTGTGGGCAGTCAAAGGTCAGTTAAATCTTGACCATGTCAGCAAGGTAACATGTTCCCTCCCCCAGCCCCACATCCCCTAGTCCAGTGCTATATAGCCCAGTGTAATGGTACCATTGCTAGGAGCAGGGCTAACACGTCAGCAGTTTCTCTGTGAACCAGCGTCCCTTCTCTGTGCTGGTCTTGGAGGAGCACTACTGCTGCAGGAGGCACACGGCACGCTTGAGGTCTCTTAACACTCCTTAGCTACATCAGGCCTAGCAGCTCGTGAAACAGCTCACGAGGGCAAGGACCAATTTCAGTAATCCTGTCCATGTAATGGCTTCCTAGGATAGACAGAAGAAGACAAAGATAAAGAGAGGAAAGAAAAAAGAAAAAGGTTTAGGGAGGAATGCAAGGATGGGGACAGGAACTGTGCTAGGAATAGGGACCCAAGTATCTTTCAACTTGCTCAGCCAAGGAATAAGATGTGTTAAACTGACACCAATGTTTGTGATATTAGCAATTGTAGTATTGACTGTGTCTCCAGTCACAGAATCGGCCAATGTGAAATTACAACCAGGTGAGTGAAGCATGTTTTCCACAACTTCAACTTGAAACAAAAGAACTCTGATCTGTTACTCTTTTATCAGTCACTGACCTCATTCCTAGTCCACTGATAAAACAACCCCAATCTCAACTGGTGGTATCCATAGCCAGCTCTCACACAGAAATTCAATACCCCTGTCAATGCTGCAGAAAATGTAATCATTCAACCAAGGGTTGGAAAGAATGTCTTGGAGGGCGACAATGCTTCCAACATGTGCATACACAACTGTTGGTCATCATATGCACTATGGCTTGCACTGTCTTGCCACCTTGCAAAGGGATCTTGAAAATGATGACTTGGCTGGAAGTGTTATCAATGACACCTGACACCCTCTGATAACACACATTTCTCACTGTCACATGGTAAATGTTGGACACTTTCAGGAAGAAAGATTCAGTGTTGAGTTGACTGAAGACTTTAACCTCAAAGGCTTGGAAACCCATCACAGTACATGTACTGAGAACAGTATCCATTATTGTTTGAGATCAGAATGTTCCTTTGTCTCCAGTAGACTTGACAATGGAAAATGTATAATGAGCCTCTCAAAGATAAAGGAGTTAAGAAACACCTTATTCTTTCATGTTACTATGGTAACTCTGCCATGAGAGATGAACTACAGTAATGTGAACAAGCATTTGGTTTTCTTTAACTTCTCTCGAGTAGTATATATTTGTGTAAAGGGCCTTGTCATATTTTTACAGTTTCTCGTGAAAGGTTGATCTTTATGCTATCTCAATGTCTTAATAATATCTGACAATGGGCCTTGAAAATGTTTCTTGTTTAGGTTTAATACAGATCTTGTATTTTTTATCCAGGGGTTACAAGATATATTTGATGATTACATCATATTGTTGTCCCTTTCTGAGATGGTATCATTCATTGTCCTCCTGGTTTCAATATTTAAGGCATTTAATCAAGCAAGAAGTAAAATTTAAGATCACTTGGATGAATGAATATTTATCAGGATATGATACTAGAGTACCAGTTCCACATAAGGTAATGATGTGTATGTTCAGATTTAAAAACAATGAAGTGTTGTTGAATGATTAAGGAGTGGAACATCTTTTATTGACACATTTTTTCAATTGTTTTTCTGTTGGTGTTTGAAACTATATATAATCCAGTGTTAATGATAGCTGGAAATGTTGAAGGATTCGTTTTCACCCGCAGTCTTGTAAACCACTAGTTGCCTTAGCCCAGTTATGGGGTCTATTGGGTTCATTAGGTTTTTGAAGCTGTTGTAGTGTATAAAACACATGAAAGATAAGTGCATTAAGTGATATTGTCAATTGTGAACAACAAAGATTATAACATTTTATTGAAGTAAAAGTGACATTTTGAAAGGGAATGAGCAAGTTTTGCTGAATCAGCACTTAATAGGATTGAGATTTCTCAAATGAGTACAAATAAGGTCAGATTAAAATGTTTCTTGTTCATCTCACTGATACATCAATCAGTAGTTATGACTTACCAACACCAACTATACACGGCTCAAGGTTTCCCCCACACCAGGCCCATTTAGTTAAACTCAAAACCATACAATAGCATTATTCGGAAGCTTGTGACTGCAATATGGGCAAGCCATAGAAAAACTTGGACTACATAAAGCCTGTTTTTCATTTTTTCAGATTATAGCAACTCATGTCAGTCAATAGACTATCTGTCTATATTCATTGCCAAGTTTCCTTGTTGGAATGAGTGAGTGAGTGATTGCGAGTGAAACGTTACTCTGAATATATCAAAACTACAAATGTAGCATGAAAAGGGTTAATCTAAACAAAGACTATATTTATAAGGCTGAATAACAGGAGTTCTCTAAGGGTACTCCCAAGTATTAAGGAACATTCAGGTCCAATAATATTCTAAGTTGATAATGGGACATGCATGGGCTGCTAAAGCTGAGAATGGGATGAATATAGATTGAACATATGCAGTAGGGTTACTAGGATGGTGTCACTAACTGACATGATGGATTGTACCCATGTGGAACTTGAACCTGATGTGATGGTGAACAAGTTGTTTGTCCACTGGACCAGTCCTCCCACACACAGTATTAATACTGGGACAAAATGCACCTTGGAAACAAGCCTCTCTCAGAATAATTCTTCATGATTGTTTGCTGTTCAGCAAATCTGACAGGCCTTAGGACACAGAGACCCAATTCTGTCCAGAATGTCCATACAGAAATGATTGTCTTGCATTGTGTTGGTGGTGGGGAAGGTGGAAGAATTGGGCGGAGCTTGCCATCCTAGCTGTACAACAGGAACAATTCTGTTGGGTATGCAGCGCACATGTTCCAGTCAGCCATTACAGCTAAGTCTCTTCACATGCTGTGGTATTGTCATACTGCCCTACTTAACTGGGAGACATTTGCTTCCAGTACCTGCATGTGCTACTCTCCCATGGTGATACCACTGCCTTTCAAGTCTGGAGAAGACAGCAGACAGTTGGACATTGAACAGAGAAACAGATGTGGCAGACAGACATGCCTACATCAAACAAGCAGGTGCCAGAAAAAAAATGAGGAAAGACATGCAGGGAGGAAGGTGACAAGCAGAAGGCAGACAAAGGGACAGTGGTTTCACAGAAAAGCAGGGGAAATATAAGTGGACATGTTCAAACAGAAGATGATGTACAAACAGTTACAGAAAGGAGAAAAAGACGAGGAGACAACATACAAGCAGTTGGTGAAAAAGCAAAAGTCAAACAGACAACAGACGAGTATTTGTGACAGACAGACAGACAGACAGACAGACAAGCAAACGACAAGCAGACATAGAAATCAAACAGATTACTAACAAACCAATAACAGAGAAGTGGACAGACATGAAGAAAGACGAGCACATCACTGAAAAGCAACAAGCAGATGGCAAACAACAATATGAAATGAACAGATAGCAGATGACGAACAAACCGAGTATAACAAACCGATTACAGATATGTATCAGACAATCAAGCAGTCAACAGGAAGGTTTTACCCAGTTTGATGTTGGTGTCTATGTGGCTTGTGTTCTGCAAGATTCTGCTTGTGGTATCTTCATGACATTAATGAAGCATTGGTTCTTGTGTGTTTAACATTATTGTGAATGTTCGTATAAACTGGACACACATCCCAGAGGCTTATTGGATTTGATGCCTATTTGTTTGTAATCTGAAACTGAAATTTGTTAGAAAGACAGCTGATTTACAGATTCCAACTTTATTCTGGAATAAAGAAGTTGAAATTCCAAAATCACTCTGATAACGCTCTTGGCAGAAGTTGATGTCTATCTTTCTCTGAAGTCTACAGCTTTAAAGTTCCACTAAAGATATTGAAATAACATACATGCCATATGTGGAATAAAACACACTCAGTGAGGTAGAAAGAAAGAAAGTGGTTAATATTTTCCATTATGGTTTGATAGTTCTCATGTGTTAAAGGTTCACCAGTTTCATAAGCTACTTCCTGTCCCAAAGTATGCTGGGACGTTGTTTGACCTCTCTCCATCGCCCAACGTGATAATATTTGAATCTGTTTCTAATTTTAACTGTCAACCAGCCTTCACTGTACTCTTAAGACAGAAAGCAATTCAGACTTATGAAAAATTCATTTACACTCCAAAAACATTGTCTCCATAAATCAACCCTGTGTTTGTAATTAGACCCTATTACTCTAGTGGAGGGTTCACAGAACAACTTTGCAGCCTGTGAAAGAGAGGTGTCCCCACCATGTGGCACAAGTATCACCTCACCTCGCCCATATTGTTACTTTTGGGGGAGGGTCAGATTTCATGATGCTAATCTCCCTTGTAGAGACAAATATGCCAGCTAAGCGCTTTAGGCTTCATTGAACTCTCAGTCCTGATTGGTCAATAACTGAAGTTCCCATGTATTTGAAAGTGAATGCATGAAGTTTCTCAGATAACTTGTGTCAATGATAGTAAATATGAGAATAATAATGAATCCATTTAGTGCCAGAATTCATAGATACTGATTGCCACTTCGAAATATGTAAGTCATGGTTGCATATTTGCTTTGTTAGTGCCTTGTGGAACCAGTGGGTCATGGTGACTGTAGGGATAGATTTTGCTTCAGTGGTCCTTGCTCTAGTGCAAGCTCTCATCTGTAACTTTCCATGACTTGCAGGCCTGCATTCATCTAATGCATTGGATATCATCAATAACGATAAGGTTCCTTAGGCTTATGATATGTGACAAGTGATAATAAACTTCACATGGTATCCTTTAAACTTCACGTGGTATCACACATTACACTTACATATGACTAGAAATATAGAACTGAGGGGAAATAACCTACCAAAACTAAGAGCCTTTAAAACATTTCTGTATGTTTGAAACACATGGTAGAGGATTCAAACTGTATTCTGACAAGTATGCCAGTTATCAGAGATAAGTCCCCAAGAACACACCACACAGGACACACTACACAAGATGGTTGAAATGGCTTCCCATGTCTGTTGTCACATGACCCACTTTGCTCATCTAGAGATTGACATATATAGGTTTAAAAATAGATCATTTTGCTAGAAGGCTTAAAAATAACAGCAGTAATGTTATTTGATTATTTTTTCAGAAAATATTAGTTTTGAGAAAAGTGTTACTTTCTTTGTGGCAAGATAACATTAGTTGATGACATGGTTGAATAAACACAGATTTGATTTCATTTCTCTGTCAATGAACTTTTGCATTTGTTTTTTAGTCAGTTGTGCTGAGGCAGGAAATGGTGCAAGAAACTTGAAGAGTTGTGTTTCTGGCAGATGACTGCCTGATATTTGTTAATGCTTAAGCCATTTTGGTTATTTTAGAATAGCTTTGGAGTCCTTATCATATTTTCAGAGTTTAATGGCTCTCTCGCTCATTTTGTACACGTAGTGTACCCACAATACAAAGTTGATAGGTATGTTTAATGTAAAATATATTTGTAAAATGAATGTAAAACTTTAACTTAACATGTTCAAGAATGATCTTTTTGAA